CGGGTAAATTACCAGGACAAAAGTGGAGCTCACCAACGAATATCTATTAATGCCACCTCATAACCTGGTGATTAATTAGCATTTCTTCAGAATGCCAACATTTGTGGGATTGAATAACCAATAATTGCTGGTTATAGGAACAGAGATTAAGTCTAAGGAGGTCAGTATCATATTAGGAAGTAAGATGTAGAGAATGTCAAGAAGCTGTCTCACTTGATTCCCCACCCCCAACTGTCTCTCTTTTGTGGCAGGTATATGTATATCCCACATGTTGGGGTGGTCATGGTTTGGACCTGCTACGTTATATCTCCTCAGAGATCCTCATCTTCTGCTGAGTCAGGATGGAAGCAGAGAATGTGAATTCAGAGATCTTTTGAGATGTGAAATGGGAGAACTGAAAAGTATGAGCTTTATTTATTCTTATTTAGCTTTATTTATTTATATTGGATGAGTTTTATCTTAGTACAGGAAGCAAGGTCCTAAAATTGGGTAGTGGAGAGGGGCTAGAGATGGATGCTTGAGAAGAGTTAGGAGGTTGGGAATAGTCTCATTGGCAAATGTGATGAGTCAACAGTAAGTGAATAAAGAAGTTATTATGCACCAGAAAGGGCCCAGGTGAATTTAGATAGAATGAATTTATAGTGGACCCAGTCATAATTCAAAGAATTTTCATAGTAGCAGTTAACTAGGTGCAGTTTAGCATAGTACATTCAGAGGGCAAGGTCTTCCAGATTAGAGACAAGTTTTTATTGTAAGCTAGCCCTGGAGTCAAGTGATTAATGGGGTCAGGATTGGATAGGAGTGCAAGTGAAGCTAGAACAGAGGTGACAAACTCAGAAGTAAGGTGAGTTAGGGCACCAGGAGGTGAAGAATGAGTTCACTGAGAGTTAAAGAGTTAGGAGATGGTAGTCAGTGAAGGAAAATTCAGAATCAAAGATTTAGGAGGTAGAATTGTTCTGAGTAAGGTGAGTTGTAAGCCACGCCCTCTCCCTTCACCTCCTTGGGTGGATGAAGTATACAACCTCTTGCTGAAGAAGTAGCCCTTCAATCTGTGTTGGGTTTCCCCCTTGAATTTCATCAATCTCTAGGTGATAGAGAAAAAGAAGTATGAAACTAAATAGGGGATTATCATAAATGGAGTAAAAGAACTCACCTAAGATGTTCTGCTCGTGAGGGACTCTCAAAAGATGGTGTGGTAGGAGCAGTATTTGTTCCATCAGTGAAGCTGCTTTTTCCTCAGAGGTATTGAAATCATCCTTGAGACTTACGTGGATCAGGGACCAAGACTCAGGCTATTGACATAACTTAGGAGTAGACTAAGTCCAAAAGCCAGCACAGGAGGAGTTAGAAGCTTATTTCCTCAGGTCTGACAAGCAGCCAGCAGGGCCAGCATAAGCTGGGAAGCTGCACTCTGCTGAATCCATGGTCTATCTTTGTTAACTATCCTTTCCAGCCTTTTGTTACAAGCATTTCATTTCTTCCCCATTTTGAACCTTAAGCCCCATGAACACCTTACACCAGATGGAGGGGCTGCACTTTGGATTGGTCACTGGGTTTATCTTTCATTCTCTGGCCATTCTGGGCTTGGAGCTGATAACTTACAACTTGCTGGTGTAATTCTGGCATTCTGGCTGGCAGTGACCTTGGGAGAGGATGTCTAGAAAGAAACCCATAAAAGAAGCTGAAACATTGGAGCTGCCAGAAGTCTCCAGGAGCACCATCCAGAAAACAAAACTCTCTTGCAGGCTGCCCAGGACTTTCAAGTAGCAGTTGCTCCAATGATGTCCAGGGAGTGTGGGAGTTCATGGTAGTGAGATGATTTTCTCCTCTTCCTCCCCACCACCCTCAACAAACATTGAATTTAGGATGTTTGAGAGCTCTTCCACGTAAAGGTGCAACAGACCATCAGGAGTGGAGATCAGACGAATGACACAACACTAGGATGAGTTCAAGATGTTGTATTGATACAGCCAAGCAGAATATCAGCGGACGTGAACAGAGATTCAATTAGGAGCAGAGACAAATGTAGCCTCCCTTGCCATTTACCATTCCATAGGGATAGCAGCAGAGTGATGGCCTGGATATGCAGTGGGGTATGTGTTCAGGTCAAAGACCTAGAGCTCCTAAATGCTGGGGCTTAGGGAAGGGTTTCCAGACACAGTCCTGCCATGGAAGCTGCTTTGTCACTGGTGGAGTGATGGGGTCAACGGATGCTATTGGGGAGCTCTAATAGGGGTTCTCTAAAGATTGCCTAATAAAGAATCAGGAAGGCTCAGAATATGGCAGCCCTCAACACTTGAAAGTTGGAATTTTAACCACATCTACAAGCTTGTGGAAGTGTTTTGGCAGCCAGTCTGATCTAGGACTAAGTGAGGCTAAGACCTTAAGCATAAGAACATTGTTATTATGTTTGGGGAATCAGAGAAGGGAACCAGAGACTCCTCTGGCTACTTGCTGTCTTTCCCTGGGAGAACAAAGAAGAAACCTGATGCAGAAGACGGTAGGGCGTGTAGTGATGAAAACGAGGACATTAAATGGAGCACCTTCTAGCCTGGGAGTTTAAAGTTCATGTTCCTTTTGTTTTCACTGTAGTAAAAATTCCATGTAATCTGTAGATCACACTGAGAGTGTGATCCGGTGGGATGAAGGTGACAAGAAGCTGTGGGAATTGTTTCGTTGTTTGAATGTCTGAATCCCTCCATAGGAGTCTAGGGGCACTAAGGAAAAAACTGTGGGGATATCTATGTATGCACATAGCAAATGAGACCAGTTGTACTGCCTCGAGGCTTGACTAGCTAGAGCCAGACTCTTACAGTGGCAAGTTTGATCCTAGTTAAGTGAATTGAGGCAGCTCAAACCTAGGGTGCAAAGTTGGTTGTTCCAAAATGACATCACTAAGCTAGAGTCAAGTTACAGTGTGTCCAGCTGTGGCTGATCGGACCAGTACAAGCTCAGAATGCTCTACCACTGGTCAGGCATAAATAGTCCATGTGAACATTTGGGGTGGATTCTCTAAATTTGCACATCTCGTGTTTCTTTGGAGCTGCTTCAATTCTGCTTTGCTCATAGAGCCCAGCACCTTCTCTGATGAGGGCACCTCGTGCTGGGCGGTCCTGTTTCAGTGTCTCCCACGTCACATGAGCAATTCCAAAGTTCTTAAGAGAGACTTTGAGAGTGTCCTTCTTTCCCTGCTTCTGACCACCATGTGAATACTCTCAAGTGTTTGCTTGACCTTGCAAAGTAGCCATTCCCTAAAGTGTGTCCAGTGAACTAGGAGTTTTACCCATTTCCCCCTAGTTGTTAAGAGGTAGAAGTCAAAGGATTTGAGGAATAAAGTTGTTTTTAATTTAAAAATCAGATTAGTTGAAACTTTTATGTTTCTTTTTCAAATACAGAAAGAATCTCAAGAGAAGTTGCTTTTTACTTGTGTGTCTACAGGAGTATAGTGGGTAGAGGACTGAACCTGGAGTCAGCAAGAACTGGGTTCAGGTCTCACCTCTGACACATACTTGTTAGGTGACTGTGGGTAAACCATTTAACTTCTTGGTGCCCCAGGCAGTTCTCTAAGATTTAGGAAGTTTCCACACTAGGGAGTTCCCAGCACAGATGAAATTATAAATCTAGGCAAAAACAAAACAAAGCAAAAAACCTTAAATTAATCTTCCTGTGGTTGGTGAACCCCAGTAGCTATAATTCTGTACCCTTGCTTAGACCTTTGCCTTCAGGGCCATCACCAATTTTCTTGACTTTTGTCTCGCCACTGGACTTTGATGACTTTGGAAGAAAGAGTGAGGCTGATGACTTTGTACAACTCTGCCTCACTTAAATCCAATTCAGGAGTAAGTCAAGACATCACCCGTGATGTCATTGGTCTTCTTCAAAAATGAAGGGTGAGCAGCTACGACAACAATATGATAGTCACAGTAGCCTGGAGTTGGAGGGGAGTTGGTCTTCAGACTGTGTAAATTCAGTCCATGGACTAAAGAGTTCCCATCCCTGGTCTGGGTTGTAGGATACATGGGTTATTGAAAGAACCCACTAAGGACTTCAAAAAGTCAGAGCATTTGGCACATCAGACGTGGCTTACTGCTGGATACAATCTATAGGGAAAGAAAGTCAACTATAAAATCCATTCCAGGAATAACACGTTCTAAATGAGGTTAAAATATTTGAACCTATGGGAGATATCCCTTATGATGGAGAGGCCCCAAAGGAAGAGGAACACTGAGAAGTACTCTGAAGTTGTCTTTTTTGTCTAGACTGAGATTGTGGCATGGTTATAATAATCTCACTGATTCTTATGGACAGTGATGGAATGGGGTAAGGAAAGTTATTCTGAGAGATATGCCATTTTGATGGCCATCACTGCTACTGTAATCCAGAAAGAAGAGAGTTATTTGTGGAGTACAAGTGTCTGTACCCTCCCATTCTATATCTCCTCATTTTTCCAACTATGTTTTATCTTTCTTCTTTAGTTCCTCTACTACATTGCCTCATTAATCTTTGCTGCCTTCTTTGGTTTTATACAGATTTATTTTCTTTTCCTGTACTTCCTTCTTTCCCTTAAAATTAAAGACGTATTAAATATTTCATCAGTGATTTTAGAGACACTATAAGGTCATTAAATTCTGGAATCCCAGAGTTGTAAGGGACTTCAAAGATCATCTGGTCCAACCCCCATCTATGAAACATGAATACCATCTGTAAAATCCCTAACAAGTGGTTGCCCGGCCTCTCTGCTTACACACCTTCAGTAGTGGGGAATTTATAGAACATAGAGAAAAGACTGTAAAATGCTTTCAATGACCATTGAAAAAATATTTTGGTGATTTTGCTTTTTTTATTTGTATATTTGGTGTGTCACCATATACACTTTTTTTTTAAAATAAGAAAGCTATGTAAGCTAACACTACGAAGTAAAAAAAAAGTCAGTAAAGTATTGAAACATATGCTTTAGTTAAATATGCAATGGTATAATAAGGGCATTTGCTTTATTACAGACAGCCAGAATTATGGATAGCTGTGATTGGAGTTAACAGTATTTTACAGAACCCTATGAAGGATAAGAAAATACAAATTGATTTCATCATCATCCATCCAGAATTCAAGCATAATACTTTTGAAAATGACATTGCACTGATTCATTTAAAAGATGCTGTGACTTATAATGACTTTGTTCAGCCCATTTGTTTGCCATTTTTTAATGATATGCCAACATTAGATGATACCAAACGGTGCTTCATAAGTGGTTGGGGGAAAAGGACAGAAGAAGGTAAATATTGACTTGATTTTATTGATGTGTGATAGACTTTTAGTTTAGTTAGTGGATTAAAAACAAACCTTAAGCTTGATTCCCTTTTTAACAGTTAGAAAGTATGATTTTCCTGCCTCCTCAGGTTGCATTCATCCTTTTAAATCTCAAGGATCACATGACTGACCAATGTGGGGATTGGTTAATCTACATCTTTTACCTTTAATCCATTTAGTGGTAGAAATGCACAGTCTCCCCTCTCAAAAGGATGCAAAGCAGCACTTTTACCTCACATCTGATCTGGGAGACGGTATGTTGTTTGTGTTATATTTCCATGGTTTCCATGCAAGACTGTACCATGGAAGCAGGTGGAAATACAAATGTCCCAATGTAAACAAAGGTATTTAATTTTAATGTAAGAAATTATAAACTCTCAAAAAAAGTCAGAGTAGCACTTCTTCTACAATGTAGAAAGTCAACTGTAGATCATCTAGAATTTATTATAGACTAATATACAAATGTAAGAGAGAGAAGAAAGAATCAACAGTATTTAGTGAAAATTAGAAATGGGGTAGAATGCGGTGAGGAGCAAAGAATTCAAAGTGACTATAAGATCAGGAGCTTAGCAGAACGGGAGAAATGTTTGTGCCATTAATGCTAGCAGGGACATTGGAAGAAGATGAAGACTTCAGTTGACAGCTTGTAATATTTCAGCTGTTGGTTTCTCCAGGCCCCAAGCAACTCTCTAAGGGACTCAGTCACGAAGAAGAGGCTGATATGCTGTGATAGAGGAAGTTCCTCGCTGGGAGCTCCATATACCGATGAAATCACAGATTTGGTCAAAAACCAAACCAAACTGACCAATTACAAACCTCAAACAATATTTCAGATGTTGGTAGGAAATCCAAGTAGAGATGAGAAGTCAATTGTTCCTGTCTTCCTTATTGGTTATTCTAGGTCACAGGAACCATTCTCTCTATCTTAGATCTGTGAGTCATGTAGCTTTCATCTAGACACACACATGGCATTTTCTAGGTGACTTTGGCAACAGTGTGTGAAAGGCAGGGAAGTCAGGTCTATAGCTGCTTCCCTATAGGTTCTTCTTCTCCTCCTTGGGGAAGCAGAAAAAACAGCATGAATCTGTCTTTAAGTGGTAGGTACTTGGAATGTGTCATTCTGGCAGTATTTTTTGGATTCAGGAAGTAGCAAAACTGGAAGGTGTATAAGTAAATTCATGTTTTGTTCCTTAAGTAAATTCGCTTACCTTTCTTTGTGTCATTGACAAATTTAATTCAATCATTTATTCAACAAATGTTTAGTGCCAACTGTTAAAAGTAGTGCCTGGCATAGTGGATAAAAGGCTGGTCTAAGAGACAGGAATCAATCAATCAAGTATTTATTAAGCTATGTACCTACAAAGTGTCAGGTGCTGTGTTAGCTTATTTTGCAGTAAGTGCTAGGGATACAAGTAGAAAGAATGAAACAATTCCTACTCATGAGGAGATTACATTCTAACGAGATAACAGAAAGTACATATAAAAATATATATACATATATACACATGTACATATAAAAATATATATACATATACTGTATGAATTTAATATAACTGACTTATAGAAAGTTGTTAACTGCAGAGTAGGTTGGAAGGGAGGGCAATAGTAGTCAGGCGATTGAGAAAGACTTCATGTAGAAGACGGTGTTTGAGCTGCATCTCAAAGGAAGGCTGTGAGGCAGAGGTGAGGGGGAAGATTGTTTCACACATGTGGGACAACCAGACAAAGATACACAGATGGAGATAGAATGTTGTGGGTGAGGAGCAGAGATCAGAGTGTAGGAAGGGGAGTAATGTCCAGTGGGGCTGGAAAGATATATCAGGGAAGACACAGGTTCAAGTCATGCCTCTGACATTCTAGCTAAGTAACCATGGGCAAATCACTTAATCTCTTAGCTTAGATGCTGAGGAGTGGCTGAGAAATGAAATCTGCTAAATACCAAGATTCTTAGTTCACCTCTTGTTGAAAAAAAAAGGACTGATGTCTTAAATTGTATATGGATTTTTGTTCTATAGGTACACTGACACCTTTATTACAAGAGGCTGAAATACATGTTATTCCTTGGGATGTATGTAATGCAGTAGGAAGTTATTCAGGAAGAGTTCCTAATACTTCATTTTGTGCAGGTGAAAGTTGTGGAAATGTTGATACTTGCATGGTAAGACTTTAGAATTTTAAAATATTTAAGATCCTTTAAAATATAGAATACTGATATAATTTTCCAGGAGATTTTGGGCTGGTGACGGATGCAGTGCTCTTGTAAAGTATCACTCCACGCAGAGGCATTATGTCCCCCTGAAGAACTCTAGGTCTGGGTTCTTAAGACCAGGTTCATTCCTGGGGAGTCTGACCCCAAAGAGAGGCGATTCAGGTTTTTTGTTTGTTTGTTTTTTCCTTCTGTGCCCTATGGATCATTATGCCCCTACCTCAGAGTCCTAGGGACAAACTCTTAAATAAAGCTTAGGGATGGCACATATTTAAGTTCTTCCCAGAAGAAATCAACAGGGTCCCTTCTAGAAAAGTTACTCATTGTATAGGTTTAGGGCAGCTATGTATTTCCTTCACCACCTTAGAAATGCTTAAAATCAAAAGACTTCTAAGCATTCAGTCACAAATATTTAAAACATGAAACATTGGCCTATTACTCAATGAAAGAAGAAAAGGACCCATATGTACAAATATATTTATAATGATTCTTTTTGTATTGGCAAAGAACTGGAAACAACTGGGGTGTACATCAATTGGGGAATGACTGGACAAATTATGGTATATGAATATAATAATGATGTCATCAGAAGTTATAAAAAGGATGGCTTCAGAGACTCCCGGGAAGACTTAATGAACTGATGCAGAGTAAAGTGAGCAGAACCAGGAGAACAATTTATACAATAATGCTATAAAAGCAAACAACTTTGGAAGACTTAAGAATTATCATTGATGCATTGACCAGTCATCATTCCAGAGAACCTAGGATGAAACATGCTACTTACCTGCTGACAGAGATATAATGGACTTAGGATGTAGAATGAGATAAATATTTTTTGGATATAGCCAGTTTAGGAATTTGCTCTACTTTACTGCATGTTTTTATTTGAGTTTTGTGTTTTGGTTTTTTTTTTTTGGTTCTTGTTGTTTTTCAAAAGAGAAATGAAATAAATTTTTTGTTGACCAAAAAAAGTTTAAAAAATTATTCTAGATATTGCTTGCCTTTGAAGTCTTCTTTTTTTCAAACAATAAGTTTGTGTTTATAGAATATGCAATTTTGGGGTCCAATCTGATTATTTTTAAAAAGTTTTTTATTTTGAACAATATTTTGAACAATTTTGAAATTTTTCCTTTGTTGTCTAAAAAAAATCTATGCTGATATTAATGGAAATTTCTTAAAATGTCTTTAAATGTCTCATTCTATATGTACAATCCATCACCTCTTCATCAAGAAGTGAGAAGCATGCATCATCTCTAATCTTCTGGAGTTGTGACTGGTCTTTATATTGATCAGAGTTTTTAAGTCTTCCAGAGTTAGTGTCCTGTCCAATGTTATAGTCAGTGTAATAATTGTTCTCTTAATTATTCTCACTTTACTCTGCATTATTTCATACAAGTCTTTCTAAATTTCTTTAGTAAATATGTAGCACTTCTTTTTCAGTTGACAGCCATTAAAAACCAAGTACTGAAATAAATTGAGGTTAGAACCAGGCCTTCAAATCACTGTATCACCAAATGTTAAGCCAAGATTTTCAGAAATAATGAAGAATCTGTCCCTTTTCTCTTAGCACAATAATATTACATTCATATACCATAATTTGTTCAGGCATTCCCAGTGATGGGTACCCATGTTGTTTCTAGTTCTTTGCTCTGACAAAAAATGCTGCTATAAACATTTTTTTGTATATATAAGTTCTTTACCTCTATCTCTGATTCCTTTTGAGTATAATCCTAGTAAGGGTATCATTTGGGAAGGATACAAACAGTTAAGTGAATTTTGGAGTATAATTCCAAATTGCTTTTCAGAAATGCTTGGACCAATTCATAGGTTCAGCAACAAGTCTGTCTTCCTACAGCCCTTCCAGCATTTGTCATTTTCACCAATCTGATGGATATGAGGTGGAACTAAAAAGTTGTTTTAATTTGCTTATCTTTTTGGTATTTATTTGTTGTATTTTTTAAATGATTGTTGATAATTTACATTGTACTTATTTTGAGAATTGCCTATTCCTATCCTTTAATCATTTATCTATTAGGGAATGGCTCTTGTTTTTATCTATCTTTATCAATTCATTATGTATCTTGGATATAAGCTCTTTATCAGAGAAATTTGCTACAGTGCCTGGGCCACACAGTATATCCTCAGTATATATTCCTTGGTCACAGGTGTTCTCTCTGTGTGCCCTCTCTCTAATTGGGAACATGTGGGAGAGTATATCCTCATTTGCTTGTATGGATATGACTTTATCACTTTATTTGCTATGCTGTTCACATTAACTAAGTGTCCTGTTGTTGTCTGGCAAAAGTAAACACGTTATTAGGGGTTCATGAGCCATGATTTTTAGTAGCTTCTGACTCATAGAGCGCCTCAGAGATATAGCAACACGTATTGGAGCTCCAGGTACTATAATGGGGATAATATTTGCATTATCTATTTCCCAGAATTAGTGTTAGAATTAAATAAGATAATGTATGTAAAACTTTGTAAAGTGCTGGGTGTCAGCTATTATCATTCGAGATCAAAACCATGTAGGTGGAAAGCTCATCTCTAACCTGACCTTGAAGAACCTCCCATTAAAGAAGAGATCACAAAAGAAAGAGATATTAGTAGATTGAGGATAAGTAGAACGTGCCTACTTTAATAACTTGGTATTATGTAGTATGTTACTAACAGTCTACCTTTTTTGCAACTTAAGAAAGGTAATTGAATTGACTAACTGTATTTGGGGTCCTTTTTTTCATAGGGTGACAGTGGAGGTCCTTTGATGTGTTACTTTCCAGAAAATGAAAGATTTGTTCTAATGGGTGTTACCAGTGCTGGAGCTGGCTGTGGCAGACCACTTTTCCCTGGCATTTATACTGAGGTTCAGTTATATGAAACATGGATAGAAAATGAGTGGCAGCAGGAAGTTTCCATAATCAAAAATGAAATGAATATTGTACAGGGAAAGATTATAATAATTATGGTATTTATCATCTTATTTGTGCCCATATAAAGTGGCATTAAGGCCAAGGTAATGTATCTTCTTCACATCTTCATGTCACATAATTATCTGAGTTTTGCATATCAGCATTTCTTCTTGGTATGAAAGAGTCCTGACAGGTTAGGTATACAGTTTAAATTTGATACTGAACCATATTTTTTTTTATATTTCTATATTGTTTCATTATGTAATAATACTTTATAATACTCCCCCCCAGTTTATATCAAATGTATATTTCAACATGTGCTTTATAATGTATGTAATTATCTAACATATAGTATATATAATAAAGTATATATAATGATTTTTTTAAAAAAATTTTTTCCCCTCTAGTCTAGACCTGTGATTTAATTGTTACAGGGAACTCTGAGCATGGAAACTCCTTCCATTGCTACAGGTCATCAACTCCCCTGTAATTTATATAGTGTTTGTTGTCTAGGGTCCTGAGAGTGACTTACTTGCTCATGGTCACATAGCTAAGTATGTTTCAGAGGAAATAAATTCAGTTCTTCTGCCCTATAGGCTAGCCTTCTATTCATATACCTTGCTTTCCCCAAGTACATTTGTTACATATATCTTAAACACTAGATTTTATTTTATCCAAATAAGAAGTAACCTTTTGTGGTTTATGAATCTTGTGACTGTTGTCTTGCCACAGAGGTAGGTGTTTATTATTTTAATTCTAGGTGAAGTATTTTAAGACAGTTCATTTGGAGTTATCTATGCTCAGAGAGAGGGAGAAGTATAGGTAACCCAAAAGAATAGAAAATTCAAATACTCTTTCAGTTTGATTTCAGAATATATTATATGATTTGGAGTTGGAGTTTTTGTTTTTGTAGCAGCAATTTACCTTTATAAGTATGTTTGGCTGAAGCCAATATTAAAATTATGTCCTTTGTCCATACCAGGGTCATCCCTAACATCAAAAAGAAACGGCTCAGCAGTGTGCTGGGAATGCAAATCGTGAGCCAACCTAAAACCAAACCGCGGGATTCATTCTTCATATGTAACATACAGACAATTAAAAACCATTTGCATTAATATAACCTGCCAGGTGTCCCAGTACTAGGAGATGTATACTCCTCTGTTAAAGAGGAGTCCCCTGTTTTCAGCTTGTCTGAAGCAATGGCAAGATTCCTTAGACTTTGGCCTCAGTTCAGGGCCTAGCAGAGGCCTGAACATATATGGTTGAGTGTGAAGAGATCAGCCACTGTCAGTAATGCTGAAGGATAACTATAGCTAGCAGCTGCTCTCTAACATGCCAGAGCAGCTTACAACTAACAGACAAATATGGAGAGAAGCAGGGCTTTTTCGCTGATATTTTAAGTCTGCCAGTTGATTGCAAAAATTGAAAGAGGCTCTTGTTTCTCCATTGATAGAGAACTTTCCAATGCTTACAAGGCCAGAGTTGCTATTAAAAAGGTACATGTATCCTTCTTGGTCTATGCTACTTGGTCTTCATACAGTAGCACTGTATTATCACACTCTTGTCATTATTTCAGGGATTCAAGTACAGCTTAATAGCATCTGAATGCAGATATTGAAATCTGATCCTTAATGGTGAAGTCCTTCTTTGCAGAGCAAAGGCATTTCCTAAATCTTTAATTAGTCTATATTTCTAGCTAGATGGGAGCAACTAATGACTACTCCCCACCATTTTACTTAACTTGTATAGCGTCATCTTACTATGATTTAACTCTTGAAACAATTCTCTACACTATCTTGTTAGTTTTCACTAAAGTATACATGTATATATATACACACACACACACACACACACACACATACATATAAATATACACACACATATACACACATATGTGTGTGTGTATATGTATATGTATATGTATATGTATATGTATATGTATATGTATATGTATATGTATATGTATATGTATATGTATATGTATATGTATATGTATATGTATATGTATATGTATATGTATATGTATATGTATACGTATATATCTCCCAGCACATCACTAATTTATGGACAATAAGTTCATGTCTTTATCACTGGATGGGCAGCAAAGCAGATTATGCTAAATTAACACTTCGTAAGGATTGTTCCCCTAACTTGCATTTGCATTCATGGGTTGGGTCCCCAGACAGTTATTTACTCTTAGGTTTCAGAGATAACCTTGTGGGTAGTTACTCCTACCACTATTTTCATGAGCCTCCTCCAGCATGCTTCCAATTAATAATCGGGCAGTAGACATAACGAGTTCTTAGCAAAAGCATTTACTAAGATGGTATAGTAAGAACAGGGCAGCTAGGTGGCACAGTGGATAGAGTGGTGGGCCTGAAGCCAGGAAGACTCAGTCCTCTTTCTGAGTTCAAATCTGGCCTCAGACACTTACTAGCTGTGAGATCCTGGGCAAGTCACTTAAACCTGTTTGCCTCAGTTCCTCATCTATAAAATGAGCTGGAGAAGGAAATGGCAAACCACTCCAATATCTCTGCCAAGAAAACCCCAAAATGAGGTCACAAAGACTCGGACATGACTGAAATGACTGAACGCCAGCAACAAAATATAAGAACAGTTGATACAAAGCATTTCCCCAAAAAAACCTAGGGCAAAGTCTTCCACAAATGTTCATGGTATCCATAGCTCAAATTTAGAGTATAATGGTATTGAGACTTTATAAAATACTTTGTATATGTTATTTCATCTGATTCTCACAACAGTCTTCTGATGTAGATAGTTCAGGTATCACCCAGATGACTAAACTGAGGCCTAGAGATTAGAAAACACTTTGTCCAAGGTAGCTTATACATGTGGTAAAGGATGACTCACAACTCCTGTTACTGCATAGCCTGAAAGCACTTTCTTTGTGCAGTTGTCTGCTGGGCAGGCCAGTCAGTTGAGCTCCCGGAATCAGCTCCTGTCTTCAGTCCATGATGCCGTGCTTCTTGAAGTTGCTTCCTTCTTTAGGTGACTGTCTGTCTTCATCTATGTCTGACCTCAGTGTGTTTCTCTGCTCCAGGATGGATGCATACCTACTGGTCCACTAGCTTCAAAGACATGACCAGTATGTGTGTGTGTGTGTGTGTGTGCGTGTGTGTGTGCGTGCGTGTGTGTGTGTGGTGGGGTAGGGAATGGGGAATAAGATGAAAGTCCCCTCCTCTTCCCAATTCCCTGCAGAGTTGCTGTGGCACACTTATAGATGTGCTCCTGAACTAGACTTCTCAACTCTCAAACTGGAACTCTGAAATTCCTCCAGACATGTAAAGACTCCAGAAAGCTAGAACAGAGAGTAACAGCTTACTCTTAACCAACGTAGCTTCCTCCCAACATATAATTGTTACATGAAAAAACAGTTATGGATAGCAAACATTTATCCAAACAAGAAGTAGGGTAGGTAATAGAATGGACAAGAGTTGGTGGACTCTAACTCAGGAGCAAGATAAAAGCTGAAGCAGTAAGAGAATGATCTCACCAGAGAAGCCAACTTGGTAGTTTCTGGGGGTGCAGATGTTAGGAATAAAGAGATCTATTGGGATGTCAGTTTTTCTCATATGTCTGTGGTTGCTGGGGCTCCTCTTAGCTTTTCTTACCCTGTCTCTCTCAAACTCCACTTTTCCACTTCTCTCTAGTCTTTTTGAGGTCTCTCTCCCTCACCTACACTATATGCAGTGTCATGGGCTCAGAGTTCTCTCAGCCAATCAGGAATCACATCTTCCCCCTTGTACCTAGTATCACAGAGCTGTCTAGGGTACCACTCAATCTACCTGGGGCAAGGGGTATTATACCTATGTGAACTTTTTTGGCCTTTCTGAAATCCAAAAAACTCATTTATGAACCTGGGAAGACTTGTATTACCTGGGAAGATTTGTATGAATGGATGAAAAGTGAAGTGAGCAGAACCAGAAGAACAAGTTATACAATAACAGCAATTTTTGTAAAATAATGAACTTTGAAAGACTTAGTAACTCTGATCCATGCAATGACCAATCACAGCCCCAAAGAACTCTTGATGAAACATACTATCCACCTGCAGCTAGAGAACTGATAGACTCAGAGTACAGATTGAAACTTATTTTCTTTTCTTTCTTTTTTTGAAAAATTTTTTTTGGTAATGGCTATTGCAGGAATTTATTTTGTGTGACTCTACGTATTTGTTTTTCTTGCCTTTTCAAGATGTGGGGAAGGGAGAAGAGAGGGAGAGAATTTGGAACTGAAAAAAATTTTATTTAAAAAAATACACTTATAGCGGTTCACTTGCTTCTGATCTGAACACTTCCCCCTCTTCCTGCCCTTTTCTGGAATGTTCTATGCCCCATGCTTATGCAACTGAGGTATCCCAAAAACCATCCCTACCATGACCTACATTGTTATATTACAAATGAGAAACCAGCCAAGCACACCGGAGTAAAAACTCACTTCCTCCATATAAAATCAACAACTTTAGTGGTTTTAGCTAACTTTCTTGTTGTGAAAGTAACTGTATTGAAGTTGTTCTACTTATTGATTAGGAGTGACAGAGAATTGGCAAAGGTAAGTATGTCAAATCTTAGGTCATCCTCTTCAGTGAACCATCACTGACTCATCCCACTCTTTTCCCCCTCTCACCATAACTTAAAGAACAATGAACCTGAGGGTCTAGTGATATCTCTAACTTTGTATCGTTTACTTGTCCCTTCCTCTTAACTCCCATGTTCATGCTTCTGAGTGTTTGGGTCTGATCAGGATCACCTTCTCTCATATCTGGTACCAATGACCTGTACTCAATCAAGCATATTCTTAGAGTATATAATTTTGCCACCAGAACCCGAACTATAAGTGTGTTCACCTCTAACTTTTCTCCCTTCAACTTGTGAGAGGTGGTTCTTGCAGCTGGGGGAATGAACATTTGTCTGTTTATACTACCATATACATACATACATACATACCTATACACGTACATACATGCATACGAACATAGTGTGTGTAGAGTGTACACATACATACTACACATGTGTCTCTGTATGTGTGTGTACTTTCGTTTGCTTGCTACACTGCATAATAATAAAGCTTTTATTTGTGTTACCTTCCTGAGTCCAATTTCCTGTAAGTTCCCAGATTTTTGACCCAAGCTATAAGGTCAAATAAAATAGGGGTTTCTTTTGCTCTTTCAAGACATTTATTTTTTTTCTTTTCTTTTTTAAAAAAAATTATTTATTTTTAGTTTTCAACATTCACTTCCACAAGATTTTGAGTTCCAAATTT